ATGCTCAATAAAATTTGATAAAATTTAGAAATGGGCAGTTGTATTTTTAGATGATAATATACTAAGTAATATCCCATGTCTTTGTACCAACCAAATCTTTAAAAAACAGTCATATCTTGTCCTTCTTTCTCTACTTCAGAGCACAGAGAAGGAAGAAAACTGTAACTTAGGTAAAAACTTTAAAAGGAGACTAAAGAAAGAAATACAGATTAATCATACTTACAAAAGTAGTTGCATTGTCTTAAGTAAAATAATGTCAAATGATCTCTACTAGTGTATTTTTAAAAACATAAACAAATAAGGTTTATTTCAGAAATGTAAGAATAGTTTAACATCAGAAAATATGCTAATATAATTTGCATTAGCTGCTGATCAGAGAAAAAGAATGTCATTATCTTAATATATGCAGACAAACTTGAAAAAACTCTATAATTAAAAAACAAGAACAAAATACAAAACTCAGAGCAAGCTAGAAATAGAAAAAAAATTTTCAAATCTGAAAAATGAACTGTGAAAAACTTGGAGCAAACATCATATATCTATGAGCCATTAATTAGAGGCATTCTATTTTGATTAGGAAAAAGACAAGAATGGATGCCCACTATCAATGTATTTCTCAGCTCTCTTTATTGGCAGTTTTAGCAAGTGCAATAAGACAAGAAAAAGAAATATAAGTATGCACATTGGGGAAAAAAAGAAGAGAAAAACCTGTTTTTATTTTTAATTATCATCTGAATAATTATCATCTAAAATTATTGTTCTGCATAAACAAATTAATAAACTCTATAGACAAATCATTGGAACTAACAGGAAAGTTAAGAAAGTTTGTTGGATAAAACATCAATATACAAAATTGAATAGTGTTTCTCCTCACATGAAATAACCAATTAAAATATAATGAAAAGTAAGATTTTCCAAATAACAGCAGATTCTATAAAGTACCCATTGTGAACAATTAATGGGCTCTGTAATGAATTCAACAAGTTCAGTGACTTCACAGGATGATTAGATCATAAATCCCTAACTGAGCAGGCCATGGTGAGTAGTAATGCCCCAGGCCTATGAATGGTTTATCTTTGCCTAAAGCAAGCCCTTTGTTCTTCTGCATCTAGCATAAAACACCTTTGAAATATCAAGAGTAATCCACTTTTTCAGACCCCTGGGGGTGTAACCACCAGGGAGCATATATTTCTGTTAACTATCCTGTAATCAAATGATAGAGACATCCTTGCCTTGCTTTTTTCCACCTTCATGTAATCTTCCTAAATTCCCTCCTTAATTCCAAATACATAAAAGGAAGTGCAAAGCTGTCATTCTCTGAAGCATTTGAGATCTTGCTTCCCAGCATGTCATCAGTTTGGTTCAACTCATAAAAATTCTCTACAGGTTTGGACATTCTTACCTTGACACTAGAAGCAAATTTAACTAAAAATGAGCAAGACCTTTGTGGAGAGCATTATAAACATTATTGAAAGACATAAAATAATGCCAGAATAAAAATATGAAGCAAGAAAAGTTCAAATTATAAAGATACTAATCTCCATCTCCACAATTTATGAATTCAGTGCTAATTCAATAAAAAAAAATCTCATCACATGATTCTAAAGCTATTACTAAAACACAAAAAGCCAAGAAAATCAGGGTAATTCTGAAGAATAAAAAATAATGGAACTAGCTCTACTAGTTCAATAAATAAGTATTAAATAATTGGTTTTCCATGATATTAGATGCCTAATCATACCAATGCTTTAAAACAAATTCCAGGGCATTTAGGAAAACTAATACTTTCAGGAAAAAACATAGGAAAATATCCTTGTGAGTACAGATATTATTCTTAAACAAGATGCAACAAGCATAAATCATAAAGGAAAATATTTATGACCTTTGCTGTAGTAAAATTTTAAATTATTATAAACAAAAAAACTCAAAAGAAAGTTAAAAACAGCAACAACCAAAAACAACCAATCAAACACTGGGAGATATTTGCAACCCAAACTAACAAGGGGTTACTGTTAGGGACGTGTAATGAGGTCTTACAAATCATTAAAAAGAGACAATCTAATATAAAAAATAGACATAGGTCATGAACAATCAATTAACAGAATAAGCAACCCAAATGGCCATGAAAACATCTAATCACACCAAGATTATTGATACACAAATTAAAACCAATCAGATTGGTAAAAAGGCATTTGACAAGTTAAGAGAAGTAACAGGAATTTTTAAGTCTCTTTAAAACCAGAATGCCATCTCTGACCCATTTCTACATATGTATATCACAGAAACTTTCATACTTTTACACAAGAAAGCACGTACAAGAAAGTTAATGTAACAATATAGGTCACTTACATCTTCGACAGGGAGAATGGGTTTTAAAATTTGGTGTATTTATACATAAAGGCGGCTTTCTATCTCTTAAAATGAATGTGCTAGAGTACAATACATTTAATAATTAAATTTCAAAAACTCTTTTAACAACAACAAAACAAGCATAGAATAATATACACAGTATGATACCACTTACATATAAAGTTTATAAAGTTTGACGTTATGCAAAGAAAGTGCTATAATTACTGAAAATTTGTGCTCGAAAGTGGTGATGCAGGCTAAGCCAACTCTGGATGCAGAGGCCATGCATGAGGGTAGCAAGAACACTGGACCTAAAGTCATATACTACCTATTTTGAGTCATAGAGGTTGTACTTGCTGGTAGCATTGTCTTCATCTTCCGTGGAAGAGAGTTCCACTGAAAAGCCCAGGCAGGGGTAATTTCTCAGCACCATCCTTTTGTGTCCTGGTGGGGTCCATGTCATAGGTTATTAATAGAAGTTCTCTCTATCACTTCTGAACCAAGGAGCTTAAATGCACACATTTAACTCCACTCCCTCCTTCCTCGTCTGCTTACTGGATATAGACGGTTGGAAGACTAGAGGAAGGTGAAGTCACAGATGCAAGGAGCCTAGATCTCTGAATAAATAGCACCTCGTGAATGACTCTACCAATCGGGAAACCCAGATGGGTCTCAAAGAAAATTTAAAAAATAAGATTTATTGTACTAAGTGGAGGACATTTTGGTGTGTGTTTGTTACAGCTGCTAATATTACCCTAACTAGTGCACAAGTTCTGTGACTTTTAATATGTCATTCATTCTTCTGTGCTTCAGTTTCCTTATCTGAAAATAGGGTCATAGTCCCGAGATTCCTACAGGAATATTATAGGTCTCCAATGAGATGTAAGAAGAAGGTGCTTTATAAATTGTAAGGTGCTGTTATTACTAACTCTGTAGCAAATTGAGAGCAGCCACTTAGAGCTCCACAACTTAAATTATAGAGGGCAGAATAGGAATCATTCTGCAGCTGCCAACAAAATAAAATCGGCTTTAGCATTTAACCACACTACTCTTCCTCTGTAATTCTGTAAGCTTTATGCTCACTTTCCTTTAGTGACAACTGTTCAATCAATCAATCAGTCAATCAAACATAATTAATCCATAGGTTTTGATACCTGTGGTGCTCAGGGCATGCAGTTAAGGTGTTCCTGGTTTTTATGCATTGAATTCCAATGATTAATACTGACCTTAATGTCTATTTCCCCATTTATGGAGAAAAGAATGAAAGGCATACAAAACCTAACATAAAATTAGCCATAATCGCACTCCACTGATAATGACATGTAGGCAAATATTTTTAACGCCTTTTGTTTTCTATACACATGCAAATTTTTAATACAAAACTGAGGATCATAAATTTGTTTTTTTAAATTCAAAATATCATGGACATTATTACCAAGGCAATAAGTACAGAACTACATAATCATTTTTAGTGGTAATAAGGATTTCACTGTTTGAATATTTGATATTTATTTTTATTCAGCCAGTTCTTATAAACATTTAGGTCATTTAATATTTTTCAATATTATAAATAATACTGCAACATTATTTTTTGTACATATATAGATCTTTGGCATATTAGTTTGATTATTTTCTTGGGAGAAACTTCTAATATTTGCATTTCTGCATAAAATATATACATGTTTTTAGGATTTTTCATTAAATGCCCAATTGCTTCAGAAATATTTTTACCTTTCTATTTTCTAATAATAGTAAGTGTTTACATTTCTGTGTAAAATATTCTGCATAGGAAAAAATGAAAAGGCAATTAGTTTCCTGTGCATGACTAATAGCCAGGGAAATGTAAATAAAAACCACAATGAGCTACCACCTCACACCTTTTGATAATAAAATGGTTTCCCTGGTCATTAGTCATGTACCTACTGACCATTTGTTTGTGTCTTCTTTGGAAAAAATGTCTGTTTAGGTCCTTTGTTCATTTTCTTCTTCTTCATCTATATATATTGGCTATTGAATTGTACATATTCCTTATATATTTTGGATATTAACCCTTTATCAGATGTGTGGTTTGAAAATATTTTCTCCCATCCCATAGGTTACCTTATTATTTTGTTGATTGTTTCTTTTGCTGTGCAGAAACTTTTTAGTTTGATGTAGTCCTACTTGTTCACTTTTGCTTTTCTTAGTTGTGCTTTTGGGGTCATAGACAAAAAAAAATCATTGTCAAGGAGCTTCCCCCTGTTTTCTTCTAAGAGTTTTGTGGTTTCAGGTATTACATTTACTTCTTTAATCCATTTTGAGTTAATGTTTGTGAGTAGTGTAAGATAGGGATCCAGTTTCATTCTTTTGCATGTGGCTATCCAGTTTGCCCAACACTAATTATTGAAGACACTGTCTTTCCTCCATTGGTTGCTCTTGGCTTCCTTGTCAAATATTAATTGACTTTATATTCATGAATTTACATTTGGGGTCTTGATTCTGTTCTATTGGTCTCTGTGTTGTATGGGCACCATACCATTTTGATTACTATAGGTTTATAGGTAATATGTTTTAAAATTAGAAGTATGGTTCTTTCATCTTTGTTTTTCTTTCTCAAGATTGTTTTGGCTGTTTGGGGTCCTTTTTGGTTCCATAAGAGTTTTAATACTGTTTTTTCTATTTCTGTGAAAATTGCCATTGGAATTTTGATAGGAATTAAATTGAATCTATGCATGGCTTGGAGAAGTATGGGCATTTTAACAATATTCATTCTTCTGACCCATAAACATGGGATATCTTTCTATTTATTTGTGTCTTCAGTTTCTTTCATCAATGTTCTATTCATAATTGTCAAGGAATCCTTAGGGGACTTGATCTGTTTCTAATATTTGTAGATGTTTTTACAGGGTATTTATTACTAAAATCTATTACTAAGAGATCACCCTAATTCATAGTTTACAGTTTTGTTAGTTCTGTGCTGTCTAGCCTGAATGAGAGCTAATTGGAGTTTTGAATATTAAAATATAACATAATTATCTTGACTTGTTATAATAATGCAAGTGATTAGAGGGTCAAATATGGCTTTTATATACATTGTATATAAGAGATTTTATATTGTGTAGGACATTATTATTAATACCATATTTTATAGAAAATTCACATTAGAGACAGTGGTAGCAGCCATAGAATACTAATACACATTTTGATACCTACCTGTAAGTGGGGGTCTGACATATCAAATACCTGAAAATATGAAAGTGGCTTTGTTATTGGGCAATGGGCAGAGGTTGGGTGAATTTTGAGAAGACTAATCTGTTTTGAATAGACAGTAGAAATATGGATGTTAATGACTCTGCTATTGAGGACTCAGAAGAAAGTGAAAAGTATAGTAAAGAAAACATACATCACCATAGAGAATACCTAAATTGTCATGAACAGACTGCTGGCAGAATTATGGACATTAAAGGCACTGTTGGTGAGGGCTCAGAAGGAAATGAGGAACATGTTACTGAAACTTGGAGGAAAGGAAATCCTTGTTATATAGGGGCAGAAAGTTTGGAGAATTGTGTTCTGCAAGTATGTGGAAAGTAGAATTTCTAAATGATTAACTAAGATATATAGTTGAGAAGATTTCCAAGCAAAGTGTTGAAGGTGCAGTCTGGTTTCTTCTTGCTGCTGGTAGTAAAATGTGAGAGGAAAGAGATAAATTGAGGGAAGACTGATAAACAAAAAGCAACTGTGACTCCATGACTTGAGAAATCTTTGGCTCATCCAAATTGCAAAAAATGCTAAAATTAATAGAGTCACTGTCAGGAAACTGTACACTGGAAAAGAAAAGCTGAGGTGTGACTGCTAAATCTTTTGTTAAAATCAGGAAGATCAGAAGGTCAGAGTATTCATTCACACACACACATACAAAAAGGCTCTTTGAAAAGATTAATTATGTAACTTCTAGATTCCCTCAGTTGCTCAGCAGAAGCCAAACAAAGATGAGATTATCTAGGATATACCTCTAGAAAAGCTTCTTCTCTAATTAAGTGATGTACACAGGAGACCCACAAAGTTTTTGATAGTTTTATATCAGCAGAAACACTGTCAACTTGAACTGAAAGGGACAGAGAGAATATGAAATGAAAGAAGATTATTGAATCTCCAAAATTCCATAGATAGGAAATGGATTGATAAAATGACTCAGCTACAAAATGTGCTATCTTTCATGGAAAATGAAGGTGTCCTGGTCTTCCTACCTTAGATGAATTTTGATCCGGTTGGGATGTGCCACTCATTAGCTTAAAAGTTGATAGTTGGTACCCTCAATCTGGCAAGCAAGGCTCTTCACAATTTCTTGCCAACTTGCATTAGCAGCTTCTATTTCAGGAAAAAAGTTTACAAAATTCTTCCATGAATATTGCCTACCACAGCTTCCAGAAATGTTCTCATGCCATTTACCACACTGAGAATAAACTTCCCAATCTTCTCTTTCTCATTCTCTAAGACATGCCCAATAATTCCTTTCTTGAGATAGTAATAACTCTTTTAAAATTCATGTCATTCTAAAGAAATATACTCCCTGAGGCCAGGAATAACATCTTTTTTTTTCTTCTTTCTTTTTTTAATAGTACTTGGCTGAGGTCTAATTTACATTCAGTAAAATCTTAAAGGCACCTCAGTAACTTTTTACTTATAATATATCTTCTGGATCAAGATAAAGACCATTTCTGTTAGCTCCAAAGATTTTTTTGTGCCCTCATAGGAATTAATGCAAACATCTTCAATTTTTCTTTTTTACAAACTCCAAGGTAATCTAAGGGATTTGTCTTACAGTATCTTTATCCTAGGAGATCTAACAAAATCTTGACAATTACAGAAAACCACAATAAGAGGAAACAGTAGTACCTGGGAGGGAGATCAGATGAGAGAGGTATGCTGAGTAAGGCCCAACTGTGGCTGATATTAAGCAAAAGAAGGCAGACACAAAAGGGTACATATTGGATGATTTCATTTCCATGAAATTTAAGAACAGACCATCTATATGAGATAGAAATTAAAAAGAGGCCACCTTCTACATTCATTACCGCAAATGGTCCTTCCAGACAAGAGGACTGGCTGAGAAGCTTCAGGATCTCTGGTTTAGGGCCTTTGGAGTCTTCATTCCAGTTGCATCACTGTAGCCTTTCTGGAGGCGTTCACCTAAGTTTAAAAAAAAAAATCAAACAAGAATAACTATTCCCTTCTGATGAAAGCGTCCCACAGATTCTTCTCCTCCCACCTCTCTCCATCCAAGAGGGTGTTGAGCAGCCGATACAGCCTTGTGAGAAACTAAGTTTTTCTTTCAAAATAATAATACATATTCCTCTGATAGAGTAAGTGAAGCTGCAGTTAAGGTTTCATATTGTCTGGCTGGGATGAAAAATACGAATCCATTTCACCTTCTAACATATCTATATCCCGAGGTCCTGACTTTTGAGGGGGACGTGGAAAATTACAGCCTGTTAAAGAACCCTTCATTACCAGAAAATTACCACCCCCTCACCCCCACACACCAGGGGATATTATTTTATTAGAAAATGAATGCCCTTTTTTAAAAACAAAAAAAACAAAACCTTTATCTGTCTTGAATCTAAATCTTTAAGTGGCTTACATTTGGGCTTCTACTGATAGATTTCATTTCACTCGGACTTTTCAGTAAATACTTATTCTTTGTTTCCTGAGAACTTTTATAACCTGGGTTTCCTGTAATTCCTGTAAAACCAAAAATTAAGCTCTGTGAGCTAGCCAGTAAACTGAATCAATAGCCTGAACTCTGGTGAAGTACTCCAGGGAATACATTTTTATTTTATTTTATTGGAAGGCATGATTTTTCTAAAAACAGTTTCTCTGTCTACATAAGTACCTATGCCTGTGACATATGGCACTGGAAATATACAGGGTTACCTTATTACCATGGGTTACCAGTGGCAACATGTGCACTGAGCTAAATCCTTCTTGGATTTCAATAGTCTGACTATCAGTCATATGCTGGGAGATCAGAAGATGTGACAATGAACTGGTCTGGCACAGATTATAATATTTTTACTGGTCATCCTTAATGGTAGATATAACACAACCGGTGGGGAAAATATCGTAAGTCAAGGCAGCACAATATATATCTCAACTGAAAAAGGAAAGAGAAATTAGTGAGCCCAGCTTCTCCGTATGACCCGCTTTCCACTGGACCTACCTTTGGGTCCTCTCTGTGACAATACATTGAACAAGGTTCTTCCAGGTTTCCGCAGCTAGGAACATAGCAGATGGCCAAGAATAAAGGCCATGCGTGGACAAGAGTGGGTCTCCTCCCTGTACTGAGAATTTTCATTTAGGGAAAGTACTCTGCTAGGGTGATGGTTCCGCTTACTAAAGAGAACACAGTCCTTTTTAATTATCATGAGTGTTTGTGTACCGTACACACATTGTAGCCTCTTGGCCTTGGGTACAGGGTCCTTCTGAATGAAGCAGGGAAGACGAAGGGCAATATCATTGGAAATTAGAAATTATTTCTGCTGGCGGTTTGCATGCGCATAGCTCTTCATTATTCATGAGCTGCTTCTTTAGCTCTGAGTGATCAGTGTCTTCGCTGTTCTTTCTTCTTCCTTCTGTTTCCACCATGTTGGCATTTCGCTGCTCATTAATAATTATGGGAAGGAAAAGGGAATACATTACTTGATGGTTGCATCAATCAACACATGATTTCCCACCAGTATAAAAGTCCTGGTGGCTTTTTTTTAAAATAAAAGGTAGATACTAATGGCTGAACTGCCAATGAGGGTGGGGGGTGCGATTGTGGTCATTCTTTCCCTTTAGCAGAAGGTGTGCTGGTCTTCTGGCTGTCATGAAGTATAGTGAATACTCCGAGTAAACATGCATAGGAAATAGGAATCTTAAGATCTTGCACATTTCTATTTTGAAAAGAGACATGAGAAATAATTTTAGTAGAGCAAAAAACAGAATTGAGAGTTTTCAGATGTCTTATGTCTAGCTCTGGTATCAGTAATGTTCAGGGTAATGGCAGGATAGAATTAGACAAAGCAGCACCTCGCTGAGATATTTGTCATGAACTGTTCTGTTACCATAATCCAAGAAGCCTTCTCAGGCAAACCCAGAAGCTTAGCATGTAGGCAAACAGAATTGTCAGTAGGTTCAGACTGCCAGCCTCACTGTGTACCTTTGAATGGATGATTTGGGGTGAACTGGCCATCCTGCTTCAAGAACATCCCCACAAAGTCTTTGAGTGTCATGTGTTCCTACCCTCACATAAATGCAAGAATCTGTACAAAGCCTAATAGGTGTAGGTCAGAGTGTACTAGAAACACAAAAGTGTATAAGTTACTAGGAAGAACATATTATCAAATTAGAGTAAAATACTAAGAAAAATTAATAACGACCCAAGTACCAAGGGAAAGGCACAGACATCACATGCTAGTGGAATTTAAAAGGAAGAGAGACATCGCTGAGTACTAGAATGTTCATCAGAGGTTGTTACAGGGAGAGAGAGAATTTGAGTTTGGCCTGAAAGGAAGACTAATGGGAAAGAAGAGGAAGCATCCAGAGAAGGAGAGTGGCAGGCACAGTGGCCAGTGTGGAAAGGGAAATGGCATTCTAGGGAAAAAAGGGAGCCCCAAGGCTGAGTAGAGAGCTCCCAGAGGTGATAGGTAGGGAGTGGTGAAAGCGCAGATGGTCTTGAACCAGGCTAAGGTGGTGGGCTTTGCCTAATAAACAGTGAGTGTCTTCAAAAGTGTTTATAGCTGACTTTGGAGTCTTTTTTTTTCTCCCCTCTTTCAAAATCAGTAAAGAAATCATTTAGGTCAAAGAATATGGCAGTTGTCCCCCAGCTGGTTTGACTCAGTGGTTAGAGCGCGGGCCTGTGGACTGAAAGGTCTCCAGTTTGATTCCAGCCAAGGAAGGGCACGTACCTCAGTTGCAAGCTCTATCCATGGCCCAAAAAATTTCTCTCTCTCTCTCCATTCCACTCTTTCTGAAAAAGCAATGGAAAAAATGTCCTCAGGTGAGGATTTAAAAAAAAAAAAAAAAGCCAGCAGGAGGAGTCTTTAAAATACACACACACACACACACACACACACACACACACATATGGCAGTGGTTTATGAGAAATGAGTCCATAGACTGGTCATGACCGTTTCCCATAGTAGAGTTTAAAGCACATCCAAGGAGCTTCATCTCTCAGTCCACCAAGCCCGGTAGGTAGAGCCAGGAGTCACACTCTGGTCTGTTACCTCCATGACTGAATCTTAACCACCACAATGTACCACAAAGGCATGCCAGCTATAGAAGTCTGAGTGGAAGGAATTAGCTAGTGGGGATTATGTTATAGGACAAGTTACATTTTATCTTCATTATTATTAATAACCATGGCTATTGTCTTGCTACCTTCCTTACGGGCTTTATAGCCTTCAACACGCTTTCAAGTGCATTATTTCTCTTGATCCTTACAACAGCTCTGTTAAGTAGGCAAGAATTTTAAATTATAAAGTTATTTCTGGGCTCCCAATTATCTGTGCAATTAATCCTGGTTACATATGCAGTACTCTCATTTGTATTGTCTTAAAAATTATAATGAACAGTTTGCCCTTCTTTTTTTTTTTTCCAGAATAGTTTAAAATTCAGGACAGGTTGTTGAAATTCTCTCCAAAAGAGTGGGCTTATTTTAGCATTGCATTTGTCTCAGATTTAGAACCTCCGTTCCACATCAAAATAAAAGCTTGGATGCCACGGAGAGTCATTTAGAACAAGGCGCTCCATCTTTAACACTACTTAATTACCGCTGGATAAGGTGACACACTTGGAAATCCTTGGAGAGTAGGCAGGTGATCTGCTACATGTGTTTATTTATCTAAAACAATTTAACAATTTACAACCGTATCAACTCTGGTTCGCCTGTCGTGGGTCATTTTCCAGGACTCTTTGATTTGGTCTACATCAGATTTTCTTTTCACATCAACGTATCCTCCAAGCAGTATACTTGTGTTGTTCTTGTTATTGAGCCAAAAGTTGCCCATACCCCTTGAGTAAATTAAAGATAATGCTGTAAAGTACATGTTTAAAATTCCAGTCTGCTGCAGACTAACTTCATTGGTATGAAATTCAGACCCCCTCTTATTAAACATTGTTAAATATTCTCTTCAATTTCAAGACAAATATGAACAGAAACACAACCAAACATGTACTGTATTAAAATCATTGATTCACAATATTTAAATTTTCAGCTAGCCTCCAATTAGCAGGCTTTCCAATATTTGAACAGAAGACCATTTTAATGTAATTACAAACACATTTTAGGCATCTAAATTTTTTGCATAATTAGTTCCCTATTAAACTATTTATGTAGCCCCTTTTCCATCAGAAACAGAGAAAGCAGAACAATTTTATTCCTTACTGTTACAATAATTATCTATGCAAGTAGAACAGCATATTAATAGAGTATAATTTGTTTACATTTAAAAGAAAATTGTGTTAGATTAGCATAGCAAAAGACTATTTCCATATCCAGGCAGTAATATGCAGGCCTAATAGCAATTTACAGTGTAGTTAAAGAATATTATTAATAAAGTAATACAGTGTAATTCTGTTTGCCCCACCATATTTCACAATGTCCTTAATTATAGCTAATTCCATCGAGACTAATTTGGGTGTTATTAAGCAGTAGACACAGGAATCTTAAATACAACCTTTGTTAATAGTGAATTTAGAAGTTACCATAAAATTTGTTCTTATAAAACATAGGTACAAGATGAGTATTTGTATTTTCTCCCCAGGGTGAAATCTATAAACATACACATATGTAACTGATATCCAAAACCATGCCTATCTGGATTCAATGTTTTGTTAACCACTCAATGAGAGGTTTATTATAAATAAATATAGTTATGGTGAGATGGGATAGAAGATAGCAATTAGGTAACAATTCAGATTGGTAATCTAGAATCTTCTTAGGTGAAAATTGTCACTTATTAGTGGCTTAATTTTTTTTTCTCAGACTGAAGCAATGATGGAAGTTGCTATACTGAGCAGTGTGTTTGTATTTCTTCCCTGAGGGAAATTAATAATAACATCTCCTTCTTATTAAATACCCTTATTTCACTAGGTGCTACTCCAGATATTATGCATACATTATTATCAGTCCTCAGGCAAAGCTAGATAATATTTTATCTCTTTCCAGATGGGTAAACTGAGTCTTGGAGTGTTTAAGGGATTCACTGGAGGCCAGGCAATTAGGAAGGAGCAAAGGAAGATTCTAACCAAGACCTAGTGTAGCTGCAAACTCAGACTGCAGATATCATGCTCTTTCCTTTTTAGGGTATACACCTTTTTTTTAAAAAAATTCTCATCAGAGGATATATTTTTTTCCATTGCTTTTCAGAGAGAGTGGAAGGGAGAGAGAGGGAGAAAGAAAGAGAGAAACATCGATGTGAGAGAGAAACATCAATTGGTTGCCTCTTCATGTGGGGATCAAGCCTGCAACCGAGGTATGTGCCTTTGACTGGAATCAAACCTGAGCCCTGTCAGCCCCTGGGCCGACACCCTAAACACCGAGCCAGACTGGCTGGGGCTAGGGTATATGCCTTTGCTCTATTGAAACGTGGGTTTGAAAACAGGGCCCTAGGCCCTTTGGTAATGCTTCAGTATGTCCT